AAATTCTTTTCAGGCTGAAATTATGGGGCTCTTATTATCAGTAAAACTTTCTTTATGGCCACCTGATGTGCCCCTGGTGAAGAGCTGGAAGAGACTGAGGGCTGACTCAGCTGCAGAGGACGCCACAGGTGGTGTGCTCCAACCACAGCTCCTCTGTACTCTGCATTAAAGGAGCACTGAGATTCTCAACAGGTGTCAGAATTGGGTTTTAGTGGGTCAGTTGATCAACCTCTCATTTTCTGGCTCTTAAACCAATCTCAGGATCAGTCTGTAGAGCAGTAAATCAGAGCATGTATATGATGCAGACTGTTTGCAATTGTATCTGTAGCAGAAGAGAAGCAGCACAGGCCTCTGGTTCTGCACTGGTCTGTGTTATAGAGGGATCTGTCTCGATTTCTGACTTCTAAAATGTATCATTTGGTTGTTTGAGAGATTTGCCTTCTCTTACCAAGCAGCTCAAGGAATTGTCCCACATAGAGGCACAGTGACCTCGTTAAGATGAAGTGTTTCCTTCTGCAGTCTACTCAGATGGGAGAACACGTTTTTTACTGTGGCAGGACTGCCTCCTCAAATCAGAGAAATCCCTGATCCAGGAGGTGGTTCTGCAGAACTGCATCAGTCTGCTTGAAAGAATTTCCCTGCTTCATTTGCAGGTTGTGCCAGCCAGTGCTCCAGAACTATCAGAAAGATAGTGAAGTAAATAAAGGTTGCTGCTGTAGTATTTTCCTTGGAAACTTTTATATCTGGCTGTTCTGAAGTCACTGGGGCTGTGTGATTAGGGCAAAATGGGAATTGGTTTTCTAGATATGCTTGTAAGCTGTATATTTTCCAAGTTTGTTTAACTGCATTAAACCCTCTAAATATTTACATGTTCTAAAGAATAAACTTAATCGCACCTTAAGCTGAATTCTGGGCTTATTTAATATGAGCAGAGGCAATATTGGTAAATAAAGAAGGTTTTTAGTAGGATCAAGATGGCACAAATAGTTGTTAGTGATTGATTAATATTTTTAAAATTTAGTCTTTTTCAATGGCCTTCTTAATCTCTGTCATCATCTAATGTATACTGAGATTGCAAATTCCTGGTCTGTGCTATTTGTAAGTGGCAGGACTTTACTAGAAGAAGAAAAAAACGGCTGCTGGTGCTGTGGAAGTCTTCCAATAAGAGGAAATGCCTGGATTGCAAAATGGGAACACAGTTGAACCTGTAGATGCAGAATTCTGACTTGCAGTTGTATTTTCTCATGACTTGGGTGCAGCACTTGGCATTCTGTCCCCTCCCTCAGGATACCAGGCTACAGTCACAGTTTTTGCATTAAGCCAAACAATTTTTTTTTTCTGGGAGGGGCCACACAGAGCCTGGTGCATCTTCAGATACGAACACCAGAGGAACATTTGTGGAGTTCCACTTTAAAGGAGAGCTGTGGCTGCCGTGGATGGGGAGTAGGCACTGAGTCATCGGGATGTGTTTGCATTTGTGTAGCTCTTGTCGATGCCCAGGGCTTTGCCCTCGGAAGGCTTGAGCTGCTGGAAGCTCCTGGGTGCTCTGGGAACAATCTTAGGACAAATGCCACTCTTCCTTTTGACATTTCAACAGTCTGGGGAATGCTGTGGGTGTTGGGGGGGAATAATCCAGCTGGCAGGGCACGGGATCAGAGGCTGCTGGTGAAAGTAATCAGGCACTTGTGCATTGGGAAATGTAGTGAGTTATAACATCAGTAAATACTTCTGTAATATTTCTTGTAAACAGTGGTTTGTTAAGCCCTGGTTAAATAGACTTTAATGAATTGGAGGCTCTCACTCATCCCACAGAAATCAAAGCCTTTGTAGGAATGTGCCTCCTGTTGTCAATAAATGCATATTCAGGTCTCATTTTGGAGTGGTGGTACTGAAGTTAGGAGTTACAGGCAGCTCTTAGGAGTATTCATGTATGCAAGTTTTGGGGCAAGGTTTATGTTTTCTAGCTCAGATTTCTGACAATCTGCCTATTGTTAGTATATTTTGTGTTCAAAAATATACTTGGATTGTAGGGACTGGCACTCTAAGCAGGGTGGCACCTTATGAGCTGTCAGGAATCTTCCCTGTTCTTTTAAAGTGGCTACAATGAAGTAGATATTTGGTAGAACAGATAAACATTGAATTTTTTTTTTTGCTGTGGCTCAGAGGGGCCAGAGAGGTTTGTGGTGCCCACAGGAATATCAGCCCTGCAGCAGTGATGCTTTGGGTGCTTGGGTCAGTGTTTCAGTGCAGGGAAGTACCAGACATCAATACTATACATTTATTATCTCCTTTTTTTTTTTTTTTTAAACAAGGCTTAGAAAACATACACAGTTTACCTGTTTTGAGGTAATAATTGATCTTTAGCTTAAACTTTGTCGGCAGAGTTTAGAAATGCACTTTTAAACAGGTAGCTCGTATAACAATTTTAGTAATTAATTCTAGGACATGGGGTTTTCAGGAATGTCAAGTATTGCAAGACGTGGGAATAAACTTCAAGAACTGGCAGTGCTGCAGGGAGCACATGGCACTGATTTGGATCCTTGTTGCAGCTTGTAGTAGTTAGTGCCTGACAGAGCCAAACCTCCCATGACCACCTCTGCATCAGCCTTAGACCTCCATTGTTGCTGAGATTTGATGAAGAGTGGGATGATAATGAGCAGCTGAGAGTGGGGGACTGGAAGAATAATTACAATTATGAATTTCTCAGGTACTGACTTAAGGCTGTAGTAGCAGGTAATGCAGTGTAGGGTGTACTTGGCAGGCTGGCTGGGACTGTTACGATTTATGTCATTAAAAGATCGTTTTGGGGGATATTTGTTTGAATTTTGAAACCAGTTGGGGATGTTTGGATTCTTAGAGTGGCCACCTACCAGTCTTGTGTGGTCTCTGGTGTGCTTGTATTGAGTGGTGTGGTGGAAGGGGCAGATGTGGTCGCAGGAATCTTTCCTGTGTCAATAGAAGTGGTTAAAATACAAAGAGTTTGAAGTGGCTTGTTTAACAAGATGTCTTTCCTAGATTAATACAATTTTATAAAAAATAAAAGAGTGTCATAAGATAGCAGAGAATCTGTTCTTCTGTCAAGGTTCTTCCTTCCCGGTGCATTGCTGGGTTTGCCTGAGCTGCAATTTAACTTGTTTTAAGAGGGCAGGTCCCTTTGTTACCTGTGTACACATACACATCTGCACACACACAGAGAGCCAGTTTGCAGCATTTGCTTGGAATGCAGTGTTGCAACAGCCATGGAATTGCTTTATCAGTGGAAAAAATGCGATTGCGTGGAAATGAAGTTCTAATAAAGTCCCACTTGGCACTTCTAACTCTTGGAGAACAAGAACTAAAATAGGACAGACATAATTCATCTAGGGGGAATACAGGGGCAGGCACTTACAGAATGAGACAGTAGTACTGGAGTGGGACAGGAATGCCTTCCTTACAGGAGACAGAAACATGCATCAGGAAACTAAGAAATTGTATTGTTTTCCTTCTGGCCCGGCCTAGTCGGACTTTGGAGTCCCTGGTGAATGGGTAGATGTTGTATGACTGAAATTTGCAGTTGAATTGTTATTCAGGAACTTCTCTGCTTTAGACAGCTGTTGAATGAATAATCTACCTTTTATCTGTAGAGCCTTTCTGAGCACAGCTGACAACTTTGTAGAGAAATGTCTTGGACTGAAAATCCATTCCCTCCCCCTCCCCCCGCATTTCTTCTGAAAGCTTTATAATCTCAGCATTCAAAATGATAGACTTTTTTGGCTGAGCTAAGAATGATTTTCTAAATCCTGGATTAACCAGCAATCCAGCAGTTTGCATGCTTCTCTGGTAGTAGGTACTTCAGTTTATTGGGTTGGGGTTTTTAATTTTGGTAGGGGATTTTTGCTTTTGGGACAGGGTGGGTTTTTTTTGTGGAGGGGAGGGGGGGTTTGTGGTTTTTTTTGTTGTTTGTTTGTTTGTTTGTTTGTTTTTTGGTTAGTTGGTTTTGGTTTTGCTCGTTTTTGGGTTTTGTGTTTTGTTTGTTTGTTTTGTGGTTTTTTGTTTGTTTTTGCTCTCTTTTTAGTCCTGGATTGGGAGTGAGTGCCCTGATTGAGACAACTCCTTCCCTTCTGATCAGTTTTTGAGACTTGGTGGACAAATAGGGTGAAGGAAGACTTGGATTTCAATTTCCAGCCTTATGGCCTACACTCAGCTGCTGACTCTTTGGAGTTGGGAATGAGGTTTAGCTGGAGAAAACAGGGGAGAGGGTTTTCTCCTTTGCCAGCTGCTCTTAATATGCTGTTCTTGAGCTGCTCCAACATTCAGCATGCTTGATATCAAGCATGGTACAGAAGCCAAAGATTCCCAGGGACTCTAGAAGACATTAGGGTCATTCTTTGTGTGTGTGTATCCCATCTTTGTTTAGGAAGTACACACAGTGTATTTAATTTCTCTTTAATTCAGTTTTAGTTGAGTACTCTGAGTGATAACTGTGAGTTCTGTTAGTAGCAGAGATGATGAGCTGGAGAGAAAAGCTTGTGCTCTGTACCCTCTTCCAAAACTGTTTTAAACTGTATTTGGAAAAACCCAGGACTATTATTCCAAAAACCTGTCAACAAGTCTGTTTATTAGATCCAGTAATTTGTTTTTAAAATAAAATGGAAGATAAAGTAATCAAACTAATCTCTTGTGCTGTGAGGGAATGACTTTCCCTCAGTACTGCTGGTCAGGTGAAATGCTGCCGAGTACATCATTGCTTGTGTTTCATCATGGGTTATCAGCACCACTTCTGAGCTGGCTTTTGATTTGCTGTATCTTCCAACTAGTAAGCATAATAGAAATGGTCTAGGAGATGAGGTGAGTATAAATATTTTGTAGTTGCCTGTTTAAAATAAATAAAAATTGGCGAGTTTCTCGGTATGCAGTTGAGCTTCGCCCGTAACAGAACAGGTGGAGGTGAAATGTGTTAACTGAGGTAACTTGGTGCAGATTGGCTAAAAGGAACTGTGTTTTGCTGTGTGTGCCCTCAGGAGTCGTGGAAGGTGATTTGGCTGCTGTGGAAGCCTACAAGTCCTCCGGGGGGGACATTGCCCGGCAGCTCTCGGCGGACGAGGTGCGGCTGCTGAACCGCCCGTCCGCCTTCGACGTGGGGTACACGCTGGTCCACCTGGCCATCCGCTTCCAGAGGCAGGACATGCTGGCCATCCTCCTCACAGAGGTGAGTCCCTGCCGCCCCTCAACACGTGCAACAGGCACTTTGTGGCTCCACCTTTGTGTGCAGCCGGTGACACGTAGCTTTTGCTTGTGGTTCTGTTAAAAAAAGGCACAAGTTATTGCTTTGTGGCTTGGATTTCTCCTCGAGAAGTGAGTTTGCTTGAAGGCTGTGTGTTGTGGTGGTGCTGAGGATGTTCAGTTTGCTCATTAATGAGCAATCTTGGCACGGGTTCTGACCTTACTGGCAGTGGAAGTGAGCTATTGTGAGGCTTCCTGAGCTCTGGGTGGGGGAGAGGAAATGCTCTGAAAGCAAAACACTGACATCAATGACAGTGTCCTTTCTCTGAGTTTGTTAATGAGTAAAATCTACCTAGTCTCCCTTTCCTGGTTTTCATAGGAGCTTCTCTTCCAGAAAAAGGCGAATTTCTTGCTTTGCAAAATTGCTGCATTTTTTGTGGGTTTTTTTGCTTTTTTTTCCCCCGTTCTTTGCCCATTTTGTAGACAGTTTGGTTCCTCCTTGTGGTCTTACTCTGTGTAAATTTTTGTACAATCCACCTCCCAGTGATCTCTGCCCTCCTCCATCTTTGCCCTCTTACTTGGCCTCTAAATAATTGTCTTTTTTTTGTCTGTTTTCTTCAACTCAGACTTTTGGTTCCTCACCTCATCATAGCCAGATTTTCATTCTGCCTCCTTTCCTGATCCTTAATGCAGTTCTGAAAGCTGATGTTCCTGAGAAAAGTAGCATGCCCACATAAAGATGATGGAATGCTCAGCACTGAGTAATTAAAAAGAGCAGATGAAGCAAGACAAATGCAGCTAAAGCCTTGAGTATATATTTATATACAGCTGATATCAGTGGTTTTGTGCTGCTTACATAACTCTGTATGGATGGAGTTACATGTTTAAAACCAAATTAATTTGCTGAAATACTGTCTTACAGATTTTTCTTGTTTGGTTTTGTTTCAGTGCCTAGAAATACTGACTCAACATCCCATTTGTGAGAATGTTTAGTAGAGTTTGAGCCCCAGTGATACTTTCCTAGGATATGAACGAGTGAAAATGGGGGTCTTAGGGGTGGTTTTTAAATATGCATCTGGTGGCATCTCTGTATCACTTGCCCTGTATCATTGAAGGAGTTTCTGCTGCCAGTGGTAACTGGAATCTGGAGAAATTTAACTGTCTTAGCTCGATAGTTTTTGGGAAGATTCTTTGCAGGAAACTGTCTTGTGTTGTGGTGATGAAGTACTTTGCTAAATGTAGACAGGGCTCATGTATGAGATTTGAGATTTCTATTATTACAAGCTCTGGAAGGTCACTTGTTAATTCCCTTCCTTGATTTAAAGATGTTTTTAACCAGCTTTATGTTATCACCTACATGACAAACGAGACATTTCATTAAGAATCACTGAACTTTTAATCCTTCAGGATACCAGTGTTTACACTTCTCTTACATTCCTTGCCCACCAAACGCTGTCTGCTGGTTGCTCATCACTGCAGAGTCTTCACATTCACCTGGAGATAATCCTGAGTGCAGTAACTGTGTTACTTCACAGGTATCCCAACATGCAGCCAAGTGCATCCCTGCCATGGTGTGTCCAGAGGTGACGGAACAAATCCGCCGTGAAATTGCTGCCTCTCTTCACCAGCGAAAGGGAGACTTTGCCTGCTATTTTCTGACTGACCTTGTGACGTTTACGTTACCTGCAGGTACTTACAAAATTCCTCTTACTGGTGGAACGTGTCACCTGGCTGAGAATTGCTTGTTCTGGGGGTATATTTTTGGTGGAGGGGCGTGTGTGTTTTATTTACTGAGTTTTAATAGCTTAGGTCAGATTTAGGAGTGGAATTTGCTTGTTCAGTATTTGCACACTTCAATCCGTACATTGTTCCTGTGAACTGAGCATCTGTTGTCCTATTTAGACATGGGGAAATGGAAAGAAAGTGGTGTATTCCAAGGAAAGGCTGCCTTTAAAGTGAAGATTGGAGCCCAGGCGTTTCTGGTCCCTAATACAACTTTTCCCATAGCTATTTTAGCTTTCAGTCCTTTCTGTCCAGGCCCAGAGCTATTCTTTGTATTTGTACTTAGTTGTAGCAACTATACCACTTTCTGAATACCTTATTTTGCAGTCAGGAAAATGTTTGTGTGTTAACAAAAAGCTTTTAGAAAACTTTCAATCTTCAGTAGCTCTTTCCTTTAATAGAAATGATACCAGCAGTAAGAAAATGTGCAGATGGAAACTGCTAATCAGCAGATCTGTTTTCCTTTTTTATAAAGCTTTATAAGGATTGTATTTGGAACCTCCTTGGTTGGGTATTAGCTCATCTCCTCTTCAAAAAGTCTGGATAGTGTTTACCACTTCTACAAACACAGCTACCTGTCTGAGGTGCTGTATTCAGTTGTACTCTGTGGGTCACCTGTGAGAGGAAGATGGTGAGTGTATTCAGTGTCTGGAGACTAAACCTTCGTTGCATTTTAGGGGAGAGAAGGAAAAGGGGCAACAGAATGATTTGGTAAAACATAAGAAATGTTGCTCTTGCCAGAACTTAGGAATTTGCTCATTATTTTCGAGAGACCCATCTTAAAGCTCTGTGCAGCTTTTTGACATGTGTAATAGCCATTAAATAATTAAGGAATAAGAATGTTCAAAAGCTTTTGCACATCAGGACTGTCGGTGTATTTCCACTTCCGTCACGCTTTGTCAACTGAAGATCTTCTGTAGTCAGCCCTTGGGCTCAAGACAGCATTTCTCAGAGTGGAGGGATAAACGACACAAGTTTAGTTGCTGCTCTGCCTGGCAACCCTTTAGTGCTTATCCTTACTCAGGCCAGGAGCAAATCTTTATGCACATGTTTGAGTTCTAGAGTGTGTGACAGTGTTTGTTTTAAACGATGCAGAAGTCACAAGAGTTTTGCCTGTTTTACAATTTTTTTTGCCCCTTTTCCCCCCCCTGTTGTTTTTTAAGAAGTAGGGAAGCCATTCAGACGAGTGGAAAGCTATTGCTTAGGAGTGAAGCTGTGCTAAATACAGTAAGGGTTGAAAATAGAAAGACTCTTTTTTTAAAAATTTTCTCACGTCAAAGTCGTTGCAGACTTTCTGCTTCAGAGAAATCCCTTCTTACCCTACGTGTGCTGGGATGATCCTTTCTGCATCAAAGGTGTGACAGGGAGGCTGAGATGAAAACCTGCCTCAGCAGCTCTGGGGAACCTTAGGTCAGAAGTGACAGATCTGAAAGGAACAGCAGCTTTTCAGAGGAGATGTCAGGGCTGGTAGGGGAAAAGCTGTTGTGTGAGTTGTGTAAGTTCTCCTGAGCAGCAGCTGGTGTTGTGTCTCTCTTACAGTAACTTCAAGTGACTCTCATGTTTGCTTTCTGTTTTTCCAGATATTGAAGACTTACCACCCACAGTCCAGGAGAAGTTATTTGATGAAGTGCTTGACAGAGATGTTCAGAAAGGTAAATGTGCCAAGAGTGGCTGGAATCTCTCCTTGCTTTTCATTAGAGAATGTTCCTGTTATTAAAAATAAAGTACATGTGTGTATATATGTGGCTTTATCCATCAATGTGTTTCAAATATAGATTGGATACTTTCAAATTAAACTTCATCCTGAATTCATACAATCACAGAATGGTTTGGGTTGAAAAGGACCTTAAAGGTCATCTCATCTGTGGGCAGGGACACCTTCCACTAGCCCAGGATGCTCCAAGGCCCGTCTAACCTGGCCTTGGACACTTCCAGGGATGGGGCAGCCACAGCTTCTCTGGGCAACCTGTGCCAGGGCCTCACCACCCTCCCAGCCAAGAATTCTTCCCCGATATCCCATCTAACCCTGCCCTCTGGCAGTAGGAAGCTATTCCCCCTTTTCCTGTCACTGCATGCCCAGGTAAAAGTAATTTAAATTTAGCATTTCCAGTCTATTTACGAGGCAGAGGGAGAATGGAGTCTGTAGAAATCATGTTTGTGCTGTATCTTTGTAGAGCTTTTAAAAAAAAAATAAATGTAAAATTCAACTTTAAGTCACAAGCTTTTTGAAGAAAACTGAACAAATCTTTCCATTTCAATAACAATCCTCAACCAAATGATATGGTGTTTTGTTTAAGGCTGTGGTCTGGTTTGGGTTTTTTTCTTGACACTTATTTCACGTCATCCAGTGTAGTTCACCTGTTTATTGTAGTGTGAAGGAAACCTGAGTTTTTATTCATGCAAATGCATAAATTACCGAGCCTGCACCACTGCTGTGCTGTCGGGATACTCTGAGGGCACCCAGTTGAAGGTTTGTTTTAAGAGCTGACTGTCGTGTTGCAGAGCTGGAAGAGGAGTCTCCCATCATCAACTGGTCCCTGGAGCTGGGCACACGCTTGGACAGCCGGTTATACGCACTTTGGAATCGCACTGCCGGGGATTGCCTGCTCGACTCGGTGCTCCAGGCCACCTGGGGCATCTACGACAAGGACTCTGTGCTGCGCAAGGCTCTGCACGACAGCCTGCACGACTGCTCCCACTGGTGAGTGGGGTTGAGGGCAGCTTTTTTCCCCATCTTTTTTGTGGGTTTTTTTGTTTGTTTGTTTGTGGGTTTTTTGTTTTTTTATTTTTTTTTTTCAATGTCTTAAAAAGCAACACGACCGCCGCTCCCCGATTTTTTCCCCCACGGTTCCAGTTCCCTCGTGCGCCTCAAAAGATGTCGAGTCACTGGGAGTGTCCAGTTGAACTCCGGATCTCGTACCCTAAATAAGAGAGCACTGGGAACTGGGACATTGTGAACTCAGTGATGGTATGTGATAGTCAGCAAGCGGCATTTTAGAGCAGTAAAATATTTTATACCGTCCGGCGTGCTCTGACCGCAGTTATTGCAGCTGGAATTTCTGTGTGCTTGCAGTGTAAATCATGCACATGCCATGCCTGGCTGCTTGGTGGGAGCTTTGCAGAAGATTGTTAGTGGAAGATAGCCTTTTATTCCTTGTAAACTTTGCAGTATTTTCATTCCATCTGCTTAGTTACGGCTTGATTTGGGATTGCTCTTTTTGTCCCTGTTCTGTCTGCTAAAATAGTGCTAAAAGCACAGAGTGTTGAAATTTAACTAGGGCTGTCATTTGGCCATAAAATTTAATTTATCATTCTCTAAAACGACTTTTGTTGGTTTACACTGGCAACCTTCTTTAGTCTGATGTAGTTTGCCTCTCCTAGAGGGAAAATCCTTCCACTTGGACACCCAGGGGTGTGTCACGGACTAAGGGAAGAGCTGATAAAGACTGATATTCCCAGTCACAGGGAATCATTTCTTTCATATTCTTGCAGTCAAGGACAAGAGAAACTGTCAGCACGTGCTGGAGAAAGAGCCTGGCCCTTCTTCTTTGTGCTGTACAGGAAGTCAACAACAAAGGTTAATTTTAGTGGTACCTATAAGTAGCTTTTGCAGTCACTGTTCCCAACTGCTATTTGGAGAAAAACTCCCCAAATTATCATCCAGAGCTGGATTCAGTCAAGTCGTGCTTCAGTAGCAATTCTCCCAAGAACCTGCCTCTGAAAGGATCTGTCACTGCTTTGGAGTTGTTTATAGTGGACTGTGCATCTCCACCATGCAGGAATGTCCCTGGCATCACAAGCAGTTCCCCCGGGGCCAGAACAGAAATTTATGATAGATCAGGTTTTGTTCTTTATGGTAACAAAACCTGGCATGGTACCCAGAAACGTGCTGCAAACTACTGAGCTCTGAACCACATCTCCCAAAATGTTGGTGCTAACAGTGGCTGACTTACTGCTGTATCTAACATAACACTCGCTATTCAGGGGCTGCTAAATCTTGCTAAGCTTTTTAGTTTATGTTCTAGACAGAATTTGTGTTTTACTCGGAATTTACTTAATCTTTATCCTTATTAGAAGCATATTTTTTAACCGGTTCATGTGTTCCTCAGTAGGAACAAGTCTTTTGACTTGAAGGAATAAGTCTTTAAAGAACAAGTTGGGTTCCTTTATAGGAACAGGTCTTTGGAATAAGTCTTTCAGCCAGATTCTGTCGTAAATCAATCATCCTGTACATCCTATACTTGCTGTATAGATTCTGTGTGTGAAGGTACAAATAGCAAGTAAAGTCATCCCTGGCTTTAATGAGAGTTGCTGAAGGAATAGGCTCTTAAATGCAGTCCCTGCTTAAACTTTTATCTGGTGGAATTATACTTCAAAGCCTTCACAAAGACACTTTAAAATGGGTATTTTTCTAGTCAGACACAGAACACTCATGTAACTCATTTGGCCTCGTTTTGTTATGTTTGTTTAGATGCTGAACAAAGAAGAATCTATTTACCAGAGACTCTCTTGTGTCTGGTACTCAGAAAAAGCTCAGTAGTGAAGTTCCCAGAGGCTCTGGCCTGTGGAATCTTTTCCACTCACCTTTAAATAACCAGAATTTTATTTTACACAGAAGTGTGTTCTAATGTCTCCCTTTTTGTACTCCACCATTAGCTTTTGTTGGAGAGTGGGCACATGCCCTAAGTTGCCTTTCAGATTTTTATTTTTTTTTATAGATGCATTTAGTTCTTTTCTGTTAACTTGAAAAGTTTGTTGAAATGAGTTCAAAGTGTTGTGTATGTCTGACTAGCTCAGGGAAGAAACTTCTTCAGGAAAACACTTTCACAGTCAATCTTTTGGGGAGTAATTTGGGTTTTTTTGGTTTTTTTTCCCCTCCCCTCTGTTTTTTTTCTTTCTTCCCTTCTGTTTTCTGGGGTTTCTTTTTCACTGTGATGGTGAGGGTTTTTGTTTGGGTTTTTTGTTCATTGTTCGTATTTGTGCTTTGGGTTTTGATTTTTGTTCGTTTGGTTTTTTTGTTTTGTTTTCTTTCCCTCAAAATGTGATTTAATGTCTCTCAGGGGCCCTGGCAATTAATTCATTTAAGCACAAGGTGCTCTGTTAGAGACTTCTGGGGGGAAACACAAAATACCTTATCAGCTGCAGAGATGGAAGCAGTTGGTGCATTTGGATAGAAACTGGAATGTAGATCCAGAAGATTCCTTGTGGATATATTACTGTGAATTAGCACAGCCCTATCCAAATATCTTTACTGATAGGAATTTTAAGCCATGTAAAGGTTTTAGATGGACTCAGGAAAGCCTGGCTGGTGACTGTTCTACACACCAAGGATGGCCACAGCTTCACTGAAAGCACAGGAAAGGTTTGATCCACACACACTCACTGCCTGTTAATTTTCTCAGATCTTAATTAAATGACTTCATTTCAGTGACTTTTTTAATAAGCCGAACTTCAGAATGGTCTCTTTGTCTTCACAGTAAAGGCCATTGTTTAAAAGTTGGCTTAGCACTCTTCCCTAAACCTCTGCCCCTAATGTGAGGTTGTGGCTTTGCCATAGTGCTGTGGTGGGACTGAGTTTAAAATTTGAGAAAGCCAACATCTGCTTTTTAATGCGTGGGTCATTTTTCACTGGAGATGATTAAAAAGGATAAAATATTGTGACTTAACTACCAAACAAAAAAAAAAAAAGAAATACTGTGACTTAAAACTTTCAGTGTAAATCACATTAATCCCACTTTCTACATTTGATTCTTATCCACACTGCTATGGTCTATTGTGATATGGTTAAAAATAGAGAACACCTATATTTTTTGTGAGAGAAGAATGAGCAACTCCTCCTTCGTGAAATGGAATGTCTTGATTATGCCCCCTGTCCATCAGCACTTAAATAAGCCCAAACAAGACTTTAAAAACAAACTATTCCAAGAAGTATCACACTATCCAGGAGCCTGGTAGGAACTTGGATCATGTTTGCTGCAGGCATTGCAATGCCAAGTGATTTCTTAAATGAGGATTTCCAAATGGAGTCTCCCGAAGATTAAAAACAAAACTATGCTCTCCTCCTTACCCCTTCTCAGACTTGGGGTAGAGGATTAACAAGGGTTAAATGTTGCTGTCAGGAGTATGGTGGCTGAGTAAATATTTTTGCCTTTATCACTCTTTTCTCTCTGTCTTAACCCTGTAGGTTCTACACACGCTGGAAAGAGTGGGAATCGTGGTATTCCCAAAGCTTCGGTTTACATTTCTCGTTGCGGGAGGAGCAGTGGCAGGAGGATTGGGCATTCATACTCTCCCTTGCCAGCCAGGTGAGAAAACTCCCGTGAAAGAGGGCTGACAGAAAGGATATTTTGATTTCTGACAAGCAGTTTCATGAAACTGAGGTGTTTTTCAGGAATTAAGGGTATTAATATGTGAAGGAAAACGTTGCTCTTAAGCCAGCGATCATCTCAGAGTGTTACTGGGTAAACTCTTCTGCCAGTGTGCAAAGATTCATTTCAAATGGTAATTTTTGAGCTTGCTCTTAAGCAATACCAAAAAAAAAAAAAAAAGTCTTGTGGTGCCAGAGTGAAGTCTGTGGAATAAACTAATACACAATTTTCTCTGCCTTAATGTCCTCCTCCAGCTCCTGCAGCACTTTTACCTCCCAAAACACACCTACAAATCTGTCAGCTTACACTTCTGAAACTTCAGCAAGCTGTTATTTTATAACTCCCCTCCAAAATGAGATTTGCATTCCTATAAGCTTCCAGCTGTAGGCATATTTTTAGCTCTTCTTTTAAAGTCTAAACATGATTCTGATGCTAATTTCTTGAGCTTTGTTTTGGATGTGCCCTTTTCCTGTCATCAAAAGGTATTTGCCTTAGCCTGCCCCCAGGTGAGTGAATTATTTTTAGACTAAACATTATGGGGAGTTTCACTTCTAGCTGAGGAATGAAGCAAGTTGGATTGAATCTGGGCAATAGGACAAAGAATTATTACTTCTTGTGCAAGCTGAAGTGGTTTTGTTTATTTCTAAAAATCTACCAGCCTTTTGGTTTTCCTGTCCAAGCTGTATCACTCTTAAAAAACACTTTGTATCTCAACTTGGAGACTTGTTTTTCAAATCTCCAAGTATGGAATGATAAGTTCTGTTTCAAGTGATGTCTTTCCTTGTGTTTGGTGCAGCCTGGAGCAAGTTTGGAGCAGACACACATTTTTGTACTTGCACATATTCTTAGAAGACCAATTATAGTTTATGGAGTAAAATATTACAAGAGTTTTCGAGGAGAAACATTAGGATATACCCGCTTTCAAGGTAAGCCTTTAATCTTTCAAATTCAATTTTAAAAAATGTTCAGCTGTAAATTTAAGGGGAGAGTGACATTAAGTTACTGTCTGGGAGAGGATGGAACTCTGTTGTAGGTAAATTTTCATTTCCTATTGAGAAGAACAAAACAATCCCCTCAAAAGTTGGTAGTTTTTCATTTTAGAGTGGGCATGGTGCCTGTGTCCATGGTAAAAATGTATTCTGAGCTCCACTCAACATACCTTTAGTCCGCAATTTATATGAAATATTCTGATTGTGAAAACTTATCATCGAAAAGTGTGTGGTTTGTACTACTGCAAGACACAAGAGGTTTAATAAATGGGATTTGAAATGTGGCAAGAGGCAAGGGCATTCAGAGACAGAAAGAGAGACTAAAGTACTGTGGAGATGATACAGTTGAGCTTTTTGTTGTAGCTGATTTTAAAATAAAAGAAGTGGCAACTTGAACGTAGAGGCCAAGAGGGAGGAACTGTGTTCATAAATGCTCTACCAGCAGTTACTGTGTGAGGTGTAAGGTTAGGTAACTTAGTTATACTTATATTATTGGCTGACCAATATTTTGTAAACCTCACTTTCTGCAAAAGTGAATTCCGTGATGTACTTTTAAAGGAAGTTTTAAAAGTTTCAGTAATTTCACACTTTACAGCAAGTGTGATGTAAATACTGACCTATTTCTCATTAGCACTACAATTTTGCATAGCTTTATCAGGTTCTTTCTGACTTTTTCCTCTTCCTAGTCTGACTTTTTCTCCTCCTTGTCTTCTGGGCAGACAGCCTGACTGTCCTTAAGATAAATAAGATGTTCAGCTGACTCAGTCCAGCCTTGCTTAGACATACATCTGGAAATTTCTAAAGATGCATTTTCTGTTTTGCAGCCAAATCTGTGTTGGGGCAACTTTCCTCTCTACTACATGCCTGAAAAATTTTATTATTATTCCAAGACTAAAACTTCAGAGGGAATTGGGAGAATCTGCACAGGCTCAGAATAAACAAAACCTGTGTGGAAAGAACTGTGTGTGTTACAAGGGGTTGGGGCATTTGTTTTGCCCACGGTTCATCTTCCTGGGCTCAAGTATATCTGCTTGATGATGACCCGCTATTTATTTAGAACTTAGTGGAGGACTTCCCAAAGCATTCTTTTTGTGGTTTTTAAAAGAAATAAAATAATTATGATAACTTTGGAAGGAGGCCAACCCATAATGTATAGAAACCCCCAAGCTGTGGAGTTTTACAAAACCTGAGAAGCTGTTTTGCTTCTTTGTTTGGGGCAGTAACAAAACTTCATGTAGGGAAATTAAATACTTCCTTGAAGAGGCTAAAAGTTTGGGGCTCTTTGTAGTTACATGGTATCTTTTATACTTTGGTGTCACATGGATGTGACATCTAACTCTTCGGATCTGTGTTGCTTTAGACTCCGAGGCTCTGTGGTTTGTAAATGTTTTTATTTCCAAGATTGGGCATCGAGGCAGACAAGTGTCACACAGCCTAAATATGCTGAAATTGTTTTCTTGCTCTGTGAACCAGAAGGTAACTGGGTGTCTGGGACAACCTCTTACTGGAGATGAGTTTCCAGGAATTTAGGCAGCCAGATATTTGTGACTTGATTTGTTTGCCACAAGCCACATCCATCCATACATGGAAACACACGGCACTGTGAACAGGTGAACTTGGGAGTCCTGTGTCAGATTACCTGGAATTACTTCTATCCCTGTCCAGCCACATTTTTGTGGTTAATGTGGGCTAATTAAAAGTCAGCACAGCTGAGACCAAACAGCCGTTGGACTCGGAGCAGCCAAGAGGAATCTCCTGGAAATGGTACAGGACTGCTCTGGGTTTGTGGGGAGTGCTGGGGTGTCCCTGCCTGTGCTTAACATCACAGCCACCAAAAAAAAGAAAGAGGTCCCTTCCAATCCAAACCATTCTGTGATTGTAGGTTATGATAGAAATGGGGAATTTGGATTTTTTTTTAATACTTGCTTAACATCATGGTTCAGTTCGTCGCTCCTTGGAAAGTATTACAACCTTCTTTCCATTCCCAAAATAGTCTCCCAGATAGGAAGTTTTTCTCCAGGGATTCCTTGTTCCAACTTGTCACTCTCGCTGTAACTGCTGTGAATCCCATAAGTGACAACCTCCTTGTTTCCCAGGTTGCAATTGACTGTTAATGCTTCTTTTAATATTAAGGCTTTGACAGTGAAAGATCCATTTACTACTCAGCCCTAAGTGTGCTCCTGCTCTGGCTGCATGTATTTAGTGGCACCAATATACAGCTTTTAAAATTGATCAGGAAAAGAGGTGACTGACTGAAGTGATCATCAGGTCAGGTTGGAGAAACTAAATCCTATGTGGGTGGCTCCCAGGATAGGTGTTAGCCCCTACTCTTTATTTTCCAGGCCTTGTGTTCATGTCAACTGTTGTTACACAACCTTCTCACTTTATATCAGAGTGACTTTTATAACTCTTAAGGGCACGAGATATTCTCCCTGGTAATGCCTGAAATTCCTTTCTCGTGGAGCTCATCACATAATGTTGAGGAGGAATGGAAAGTGTCGCACAGCCTTCCGTGGTGGGGAAATGGCCAGTGGGGAATTTTTAATGAGACAAAACAATGGTGAAAAAAAATTTCCAAAAAGTTGCTGACTTTTAGTGTGGGGATTATGCTGGGGCAAACAAATGGATTTCAGTCCTGAAAGGTCACATAGCCATGCTAGGTGTGGGCATGAAGAACTAATTCCCAGGAATTGAGGCACTGTTTCCCTTACTTTTGACTATGTTATTTTCAGTGTAACTTTGAATTTTGACCACATGTTTGGTTCTTTCTCTAAATGTAAAGGCTTGAAACTTTTTGGGTAACGCTCATCCCTTGTTCTGCACCTTCAGCTGTTGCATTAGAGTGAGGTTTAATAATGGGGACAGGAGGAAGAGAGTGCTAAGAAGGTATTAAAAGGACTTGTCCTTAAATCAAGGTGTAAAAACTTGTGTGAATCTTAATCTGAACGAAACGGAAAGACATTCAGGTGGCTCTTGATCGCTAATTCAAAAATGGGGGGGAGGGGAAGGGACAATTATGTACTGATAGCCCCCTGCTAATTTTTACTGCAGCAAAAAAGGTGAGTTCTAAACTTAACTAAAACCTCCAAAGCCACCCCTTGCCTCAGATTCCCGTTTTAGCACTCCCTCTCCATGGATGTTGGAGGAGAAGTGCCTTGTTTTGCTGCAGCAGCTGTACCAGGAGGGGTTGCTATGCTACACGTGCACTTGAGTTTATGTGGGGCTATTTTTAACCTGTCACAAGGTGAGCTGTGCTTTTGCTGAAGTTGTCTTGCAGCAGTGCACACCAGGAATTATTTATGTTCCTGGAAGAAAGGGGTTCCAGCTTTTATTTTGAGACCTCGAGCAAATTGCTGTATTTATTGCTAAAAATGGTGAGGAGAAAAAAGTGCAGTTCCTCCTAAAATCTGTGACTTCAGGAGTTTGCTGCGGCTGAGCAAAATAGTATCAGCTTTTTGGTGGGTTTTGGGGGCTGTTTTCCTCTATTGAGGCTAGATATGAATAATTGATGTTGGTTAATTTAATCTGAATACTATGAGCAGTCCCATTCTCTCTGGGATGGGTTACATTGGTGCTGCATAACATCTAGTGCAGTAAGTTCTCTTAATAATAACTTTTGCGAGCAGATGGTGGAGTTTTTGATCCGGTAAAAATAGACATCTGACTGTAGATTTCATTTCTGTAATCCAGAATCTGATTTTTTTTTCTTCATGTTTTTTTTTTTTTTTTTTTTTTTTTTTTTTTTTTTTTTTTTTTTTTTTTTTTTTTTTTTTTTTTTTTTTTTTTTTTTTTTTTTTTTTTTTTTTTTTTTTTTTTTTTTTTTTTTTTAAGAAGAGTTACCAAACATAAGACTGCTTTTTTAATCTTGTTCATCGCTGCACTTGGTAGATTTTAGGGGTAGGGTAGTGTGGTATTGGTTGTGATTGTAATGGCTTTTATGTCTAAACTTGTAGAGTTGCAAATATACCTGACTTATGTTAATTAATAATAATTAGCTCTACTGAAAACTGTGACCTGTGTCAGTGCAGACCAAACCCTATGTTTTAAATACTTGTGATGTTCTTCTGGTACTGTTTAGCCAAAGCCAAAAGGTTTGCATGAAAATCCTTCCCTGTGGAACACCGATTCTTACCCTCTGTTGCAATTTCCCCACAGGTGTGTATTTGCCTTTGTTATGGGAACAGAGTTTTTGTTGGAAAAGTCCTATAGCTCTGGGCTACACGAGGGGCCATTTCTCCGCCCTGGTTGCCATGGAGAACGATGGCTATGGCAATCGAGGGGCTGGTGCTAACTTGAACACTGACGATGATGTTACTGTTACTTTTCTACCCCTGGTGGACAGCGAGAGGAAACTATTGCACATTCACTTCCTTTCTGCTCAAGAGGTAAGGAAGAACCTGTGTGTGTGGCTGTTCTGTTTCGTTACTACTGCTCCCTTCCCTGTCATTTGAGGTGATGCTGAAAGGTGTTTCCCCACAAATTTCGTGCTGATTTGCAGCTCTGTAACTTCGTTTGCCCGTTGTGAATCATGGGGCTTTAGAACAGAATCGCAGAATATCCTGAGTTGGAAGGGACCCACAAGGATTCCTTGAGTCCAGCTCCTACCTCTGCACATGACACCCCAAAATCTCACCATCTGCCTGAGAGTGTCAGATATAAGCACACATAGAACAGGACCCAGAAATAAGGATTCTGTCACTAAAGCAAGACTGAAATCTGCCTTTTGTTTGTTTGATTTTTTTTTTTCCCCCCCAAAGAATGCAGCACAAATATTGCCCCATAGTTACCCATTCTACCATTTATTCTAATGAAACTCAACTTGATTTTTCTTTAGGAACTGTGATGAAGACATGGAACCACTTAAGGGTGTTCATGGGGGAAGGGAGGGTGGGAAAACCTGAAGTAATTGCAAAAAGAGGGTAGATACAGGAGAAAGAAATGGGTGTTAAGTCCGGAGAAGGATGTTTCTTCAGCAAGCCACAAAAGAGGAAATGTTTCATGTCAAGAACTCTTTAAGACTCCTAAAAATGTCTTTGGGCGTTGGAATGGGTGGAGTCACCATCCCTGGAGGGGTTCAAGGAGAGACTGGCTGTGTCACTCAGTGCCATGGTCTGGGTGACAGGGTGGTGTTGGGTCATGGGTTGGACTCGATGATCTCAGAGGTCTTTTCCAGCCTCGCTGATTCTGTGGCTTACTCTTGTTATATGTGGTGCCTACAGTAACTGACCAACTGCTCACAAATAACTGAAATACAGGAAGGCTGAACTGGAAATCCAGATGAGAAAAACTGGGATGGGAAGAGCAGCTGGAGAGTATTTCCAGAGCCTTCAAACTTTGGTTGTGGGCACGAGTTTGGCTTCTGGAGACACGGGGGTGCAGCGGTGCCCTTGGAGTGGGACTTTTGGAATATCCCAGGGGCCTTCCTGGAAGTGCTGGTGAAGTGAAGGCTCATCCTGGGTGTTTCCCTCTCTCCCCTTCCAGATCGGCAACGAGGAGCAGCAGGAGAAGCTGCTGCGGGAGTGGCTGGACTGCTGCGTGACGGAAGGGGGGGTCCTGGTGGCCATGCAGAAGAGCTCCCGCCGGCGCAACCACCCGCTGGTCACGCAGATGGTGGAGAAGTGGCTCGACCGCTACCGGCAGATCCGGCCCTGCACGTCCCTGTCGGACGGTGAGGAGGACGAGGATGATGACGACGAATGATGGGTGACGAATAAAAGTGGAAATGAGCCGCGCAGAGTGTCTGACCCGCCGTTGTGCTGTGGCAGTGGGGTGTGCGGAACCACCCGGGTTCTGGGGGATACGCGCTGGGGGAAGGATTCTCTGACAGCAGCACGGAGAGAGGATGGAAGCTCATCCTGCTGCCTGGAGAGAGCGCAGAATGGGCTGGACTCCAGTTTGTATAAAAACACGAAAAAAAAGAAACAAAAAACAGCTAATTTTATTATCAAGATGGAAAAATACAAAGAAAAAAAACCACCACAAAACCAACCCCATTTTTCTTTCTGACTGACTGTAAATCTGTCTATAAATGTACCGCATGTGGTTGTGTAAGAGGTTGTGTAATAGGAAACGTATACCAGCATCTTAATTATTGCAGAGAAATTTTTCAGCTAAGGGCACTTCTGAAAGCACATGTTAGCTGGATGTCTCCTCCTTCCGAGATTCTTTTACAGTAGGACTTGGTCTTCTCCATCACCTTTTAGATACTCTGACACATTTCCCTGAAAGGCCCTTTTTTCTGTGAAATCTCACTAGTGCCCAGGTCAGATCGTGAGAGGGTTTTTTTTTTTTTGTTGTTGTTGTTGTTTGCACAAAATACCCACAGCAAGTCATAAACAAAAGTACATTCATTATTTTACTAATATTTTAGTTATTGCTGTGCCCATATAATAAAGTCTAAACTCTACGGAACAAACTGGAAGAGAAGCTAAATTTTTCATTGAGTGAAATGATTTTGTTTCCTGAAAAAGCTTTTTGGTTTTGTTTTTTTTTTTTTTTTTTTTTTTTTTTTTTTTTTTTTTTTTTTTTTTTTTTTTTTTTTTTTTTTTTTTTTTTTTTCTTCTAAATAGTTAATAGATTCCTTTCAGTGTAGGTAAGAATATTTATTCAGAGAAGTGACCTAAAAGGTAGGGATTTTATTCCAGTGAGCATACACTAAACAAAACTGTGTGAAATCTGAGAACTCAAACACAGCTTTTGAGTATTTCCTTGTCAGAACTCCCGTCTTGCTGTGATACAAGTTATATATACCATTTTATCATTTATTCTTTGATCACTCAGACATTGCTGCCGATGAAAAAAAACCACCTTTTTAAAGGGTTTCTCCTTGGTCACTAAATCCAGTGAGAATCCACTTGGCAGTTCTAATTAAAAAGAAGAATCTATGCTCAAATTGTTTAAAAGTACTGTTATATATTTCTCAGTATGTAAACCTGGGAATTTCTTGCATGTTGATTGATTGATGTGGCCATACTTAAACTTATGTAAGTTCCTAAGATTGTAAGTTCAGAGTATATTCTCCAGTAGAAATTTTATTATATTTGATAACTTTAGCCATGTAACCTGTAATGGATAAAGTTTATCTAAAAATCTCACTGAAACACTAAAGGTTAATGCCAGTTTCTACATATACAGTGCAATTCAGGTTGTCTTGAAAAGCACTTTTGATGGTGTGGTGATTGAATTAAGGAATTTTGCAGTAGATGAAATTGTTTTAATTAGAATTTGGAAAGAAGCCCCATAGCACATATTTTTATGTATTTCAGAGCTATGGAAACCCTGAGGAACTTGCTGCTTTTTCTTCCAAATGCTGCTTAGATGGTGTTGAAACGTGCACAACTCCTACAGAAACTTGGTGACGACACCGAAAGTATAGAAATAATGAAGTACTGTATTAACTTAGCAATTATCCCGTCCCAGATTCCACTGAGGTTTATTATGTCTTCGCCTTTTTTTGGCCATGAGATCTCTGGTTGGTGCATGCCCAAATTTCCAGGTGAAAAGGGATGCTTCTCTGCCGTGTCCGTGTGGGTGACCTGAACTCACCTGGCAAACTGATGACACTGCAGAGGTTCTTCACCAGGGAAGGGTTCAAGTTCCCTTTCTAAATTGGGATTTTTTTTCAGGTCCTTTTTTTCTTACCTTGCAGTGAAATCCTTTTATACCTTGTCTAGCTGAGGGCATAAAGCTTTTTGTGTCAGGGGAGCCCAATGCAGGGCAAGCTGGGATGAGGATTTCCATGCCCTGAGCTCTGTGGTGACATGGTTTGTGTCGTGGTGTGGCCGTGGATGTCCCAATTCAGGACTGAGCGTACCAGGTTTAGAAGACCAGCTCCTGTAAATTCAGAGCAGCTGCCCTGTGCAGCCCACCATATACTGGACAGAAGGATGAGCTCCTGCCTCTGCAGGCTGCTCTGAGGATGCTGTGCTGTTTTCACCTCCCACTCCCCTGCTTTTGGCAGTGCTGTTCTGTTGGGGGAAGTGGAACTTCCTTGTCACAGGGGTAGAATAATCAATGTGAAGATCTACCCTGAGCCAAACTGGCCGAGCAATCCTGCCCTTCTCTCCTGTTGCTGTCGATGAGCTGTGGCCTGATGATCCCTGTCCCCCAGCACATCCCCACATCCAGTGGAATTCCCTGTTCAGTCAGTTCAGCTGTTCCTCAAACGCATGCACCGATATTTATCAAGTCCTGGCCTGAGAGGAGGGTCCTGGTACTTTTTGAAGCCCTTTGGCTTCCTCGATCATTATTGTTTGTTCTGATGTGCTGTACAATGGTACGTTCAGCTTCACGTGCTTCACAGGCCGTTTGGGAACTGGTGAAGTATCTTTTTTCTTTTTTTCCCCCCCCAGAATCAAAGTAATCCAAACCTCATGTACCTGTAGATTAAAGAGCTGCAACCCCCCTGCTTGTTCTCGCACTGCAGTCAGTGTGTCAGTGGCTCCTCCAGTCACACACTTCAAAGTTTACAGACACTGAGGTTAATCTGCAAACGCTCCCCTGCAGCTTGTTGGCAAGTTCTGCTCTCTCAGCCAAGTACACACATAAAATACTGGGTTTCTCAATGTTACTGTCCTCATATTAAGGCTCACAAGCAGCACACGCTTTCCTAGCACAGAACTTTGCTTCTCCTCGCTACCTCCTTTACAGCTGGTTGGGTTTTTATTTTTTTTTTTTTTCTGGTTTTATTTATGAATTCCTCAGTGAAAAAATCCCTGTATTTCTTTTTGGTTTTAATATATTAAAATTTAGTAATTTCTGGATTCTTCCAAAGTTCTGCTGCATGGCTTATGGCAAATACTCCCCAGTTGTGTTTCCTCCATTAACCATGTTGGTTTGTGTGCGTTTGGAGACCCTTGTTTCATTTCTACTTTTCCTCCCCCTCCTTTTATGCAGTAACTTCCCTTATTCCTCCCCTCTTTATTTTTTTTTAGGTTTTATTTAGTGTTTGACACCTTCAAGCTGCTTGTTTTACACTGCTCTGACATCCATAGAGTTTTCCCTGGAGAAGGAGGGGATTCTCCCAGGAGAGTCTCCCTTCCCACCTTCCCTTTGAGCAGGGTAACAGCAAAGCAACAGCACAAATCTTCACCAGTAACTGTTTTATCTCCCTTTTCTCTGCCCAATAATTTTCCTTTTGAGAGCTGCAGTTTCCTGGTGCTTTGGCATATCCCGACTGTCATGATACTCTTCCACTTCCATGGATCCTCTCTCTATGCATTTTCCTGGTGTTCTTGCTGTGGGCACTTGTAACCCTTGGGATCGCTTAATCTCTGCTCCTGTTGAGCTTGTAGCACTTTCATCCTTGGTTCTGGTTGAGAGGGAAGTCTGGGTGTTGCATGAAAACTCCAGCATTTTCTGAGCTCAGCCTCTCGCTGTCCCTCTGCAGAGTCCACTCCTGGCACACGAATTCCTGTGGTGCAGGGGAGTACCAGCACCATCCAGGATGAGGCTCTTCTTGAAAATAAAGTACCACAGCTCGTTTATTTTTTTAAACGACTCCAAACCTTAACATCAATTCAGTGTTTTCATCTTGGGTTTGATGACTATTGCAGTGCTTCCCAAATACCCCTGCACCTGACCTGTTTTATCCTGGTTTCTGATGGAGAATTCACTGCCATGTAGAGCAGTCACTCCTCTATAACAGGTGACCTTTTTTGGACTGCCTGAAGCTGGTAACTAGTTTTCAGTTTAATTTAAAGCAAAAACACAACAGAGAGTTTTTTAACTAGACACTTTTGATTTCAACTTTTTTAGTCCCTTTTCCAGATCAAACTCTCTGCCCCATTTAACTCCATGTGTGCAGAACTCGGACACAAGGGGGAAGGGGGTGGAGACAAGAACAGGCCTTTTGCCCGGCGAGGCTCAAAGCCACCAGCACCTCTTCAGCATGTTTTTGGGTTTATTCTCTAGTGGTTTGTTAATGCTTCAGTTCTTGAATATGTACAAAAGATGTCTGAGGTGTAGCTGCCTTTGTAGCCGAGTGGAAACCACAGTGATGCTTTTCTACAGGGGTCATTCATTATCATAAAGAGTCTGAGGTGGAAAGGACTTTCCCTTCCCATTGGTTTTAAATACTCACAAAAAGTGTGACCAGACTTACATTTTCTGTACCTTTGGGCACTCTCAGCATCTTCAAGCCCCAGGTTGCAGCGAGAGCTCTTTCCTTCCAGAAATTATAGAAATTTTATCACTTTTTATTGAAAACTGCACTGAACGCTAAATGTCCACCTTTACAATAAACAAATACAGTAACGGTAACACACTAAAACAAAACATACTGATAGCCATTGGTTTCTTTTTTTGTCTGTTTGGGACAGCTCAAGATTTCTTTTTTTTTTTTTCCTTTTTTTCTTTTTTTTGTCACAGAAACAGGAATGTACCCATACAAAGGCTCAAAACAGGCCATCTTTAAAAACAAAAAGGCGATGATTCACAAAAGACTATGAATATAACATGTAACTAGTTGATACAAATCTAATAGGATTTGTTAAAATCAGTCACATCTAATAACACATCTTGAAGTGTTCTTGTATAAAATATCACGTGAAGAAAAGAAGACTTTTATCAATGTCTAAAAAAGTGGATTTTGTTCATAGACAGTCTGACAAGTTACCATAAAAAGTGTTTCCTGAGACATAAGGAAATGCAACATTATTCTTGAACCCTTTCCAGCTCAAGACTTTTTCCACTTGATAAAATAGCTGCAGATTTAAAACTGAGAAAATATATTTGAGTACAAATAGTGTGTGAAACTTAATACTTTCTTCTTTTTTTTTTTCTTTATTTTTTCTCTTTTTTTTTCTTTTATTTTTCTTGCATCATTGCAGGGCGTAGGTGGATGCACAGCTACTTTATTCAGTGTATTGGGCAGAGAAGAGACTGGCAGTTTGGTTTTTTTCCTTAGCTTGGGAGGGCAGTGGCTGTTGCCAGGAGCCCTTTCTGCCCTCCCCATCCCACGGATCCCAGCTGGAATGGCTAGAACTTAAAACCTGGCAGGAGAACTTCTGTTACACGGCACTGGCCCTGTGAGACTGCAAAAAAAAGGAATAGTAGTAGTAGTTTTTTTTTTTTTCTTCCACTTCTAAGCCAGGACTGCTGCCTCCTGTTAGGAGAGGTACCAGACACAAGAGTAAGGAAAGGGCTGAAGCCACATAATGGTTTCCTCTTACAATAACTCTGTAAAGATGGCTTAATTCAGTGGTCTGAGCACCGTGCAGGAGCCCTGTCCTTCCCAAGGAATTGAGGGGGGGGAAAAAAATATCTATTTTTATTCATGTGATTGATGCACAGATGAAGGAAACTCAACACACAATAACAGAAGTTGCTCATTAATGTATCACATCCTAGTTTTCAGCGCTGCAGTAAGGGGTGACTTCTCCAGGGCTTCTCCCCAGTCTTGGCTGCTGTCGCTTTGTCGGGAACACTGGAACACCAATGATGCGTCTGTCCAAAATCAACATTACAAATTTCGTATCAAATTTCTTCTTTTTTTCTTTTTCTTTTTCTTTTTTTTTTTTTTCAGTTCATGTATAACTTCTTTTCCAATGTCTCTTGGTCCTAAGTTTTTATTGAACGGTTTTTAAATTATCTGCTATTGCTCGTTGGGATGTTCCCTGTTGTCCCCGTGTTTTGTGGGCTGGTTGGGAGACGGAGCTTGGGACGGATGTGCCACTGTGGGGAGGTTGTGAGTGACGGGGATGCCTCCGGGGATGATGCCCTCCATAGCTGCCGGTATTCCTCCCGGTGCCACGCTGACCATCCCGGGGGGGTACCTGGGACAGGGGACAGAGACAGGTGGGGTTGTCACGGCACAGCTCGGCACGCGCGGATCACCCGACGCCCGGTGCGGACACCACGGAGCCGACGAGCGGCAAAGAGATCCCACTTCCCTTCCAGAGCCACCTAAAAGGGTTTTCCTTTGAAGTTACAAGGGAGAGTTACACATTCTGTACATTCCAACAGCTGCTGAACCTCAGGGAGACCTTTCTCCCTTGGAAAGTCGGGTAAGGAATCATCACAATGCTCTGTGCTGACTCAGTCATCCCTGTGTGGGAATATCCTTGAACACCTACACCTCTCCTGTGTGGAAGGTCAGCTGCATCTTCCTCGGGTAACAGAAAAGCACAGCTGAAAGCTGGGTGGGGTCAGATCTAGTCCATCTTCCTTTCCAGGAGCAGGAGAGGTTAATGCATATTCCAAAAAATGATACTGAGTTGGGGAACGGAGAAGAACAACCATGATATGGGGTCAAGGAGGCCAGAACCCTCTGTGGACACGTGGGGCCTGAGAGGCCCCCACCATAGCACTTCCCTGCTACTCCTGCTGCCTTAGGGAAAGGTGGAACAGGAAGCCAGGAGAGGAAGGGAGCTTTTACCTGCCCGCGAAGGTCGAGCTTACAGGGGAGCTGTGGATCCTGAGCAGCTTAGCCAGGATGAAGCTCCCTGCAGAGACTGAGGTTAAGCTGGGAAGCCAAGGCTCGTGCTCCGGTAACGGCACTGCCCACGTGTTTCGGAGCAAGGCAGGAGCAGGACCAGGGGGATGCTTTCCCCAGGTTTGGATGTTCTGCTGGTCAGAGTAAGCGCTCACTGCCTGTGGCCTGAATGGCACAGGAGTTGCTTGGGGCCCTGGGGCTCTGCTGCAGGATTAACTCCTGACAGACTCTGCCTGTGACATGACCTGATGTGGCCCACGGGGTTTTTTTATATCTTAGAGTATTTTTGGCAATGGCTGCCCATGCTCCAAGCTCAGTCCTTATGCCTGATGTCTCCTCTCGCCATCTGAAACAGAGCAGTAAGTAACCCTTAATCTCGGATTTAGGTGGAAATTAGGTCACCTGACTAGGGCCCTATATTTGGAGCTTTTTCCCCGGCTCATTAACCCGTGAGTTGGGCCAGGCTCACAGCAGCTGGTGCGTGGACAGGAGCACAGAGCACATCTGCAGTTGTCTCTGCAGTTCAGAAGCCACACCCAGTTTGTGTTGGTCTGGTGGGGGGGTCTTCCCGCTTCCAGAGAACTGTAGGATGACTCCCAGCCCACTGGGATGCAGGCTCTGGAACAGGGAGGCGTTATACCCCCGTGGTTGCATCAGGCAGCATCCCCAGCGGTGCGAGAGCTGGTCCTCAGGGAGGAGGGCACAGCAGCAGGTGCCACCCGGGATTCCACCGTCGCTGGGATCCCAATTCCCTGCTGCCGGCGGCGCCGGCGCTCCCGTTCTCCCGCTTACCTGTACGTGGCACCATTGAGCTCGGGATGGATCGCCTGCTGGTCTATTACTGACCACGGAGCTGTTGTGACAAAGAATTCCTTATTCACACAGTTCCTTAGGCTTTCTGGGATGCGCCCTGGAGTTGGGGATAAAGGTAAGTCTGTGTCAGGCAGGTCCCAGCCTTATCACCTTCTAATAAAACTAATTTTTATAATTT